TGGAACCAACACTGTCCTGTATACGCAACAGGACCTCCGAGGGAGACGTCGTCGCAACAGCCTCCGTCGGGGGACGTAAACAAGTAGCAGCGCTACACCCACGTGTCGCCCGATGGCTAAGACACCTACACCGGTCCGGTCGCAACCAAAGCCGATGGCACCAACAACAAACGAAAGAACGAACACAAGAGCCCGATGACTCCAGTCGTCACAATGCGTATCGCAATCAGGCACTTTGGAACCAACACAAGGTAAGGGAATAGAAATAGAGATAGAAATAGAAATGGATAGGTGAAATAAAGGAAAAGGAAAGGGAACCCCCGAACGCAAAGGATAACGTAATCTGTGGTAAAAGGGAGCGTCTTGGGAAAGACGGACTTCGACCAAGGAGATATTCAACTCTGGCAACTCGGGTTGGCTTAACTGACTTGGTGGCCAGTAGGGTAAGGTATATATCGCCCCGCCGGAGCCACTACAGTAGCTCGCGGCGCTAGATCCTAGATCTAATCTAGTGTCAGCAAAATTAATGCCAACTAATTAACTAAATAGAATTAATAATTAAAAATTAAAACTGTGCAATTATTCCCACGTGTGTCCCCCAACCCGGACTACTTTTCATATCCAAATATTTTCCTTTCTTTCCACCCCCCCGTAGAGCCTCATATTGCACTACATCGTTGACATACTTTTCAAATCTTAATCTTAATTCATGAACATTTCCAAACATTCTGTCACAAGCACAGCACTTCACGCAGAGTATCATACATCCTCAACATTATTTGTCATGCTTATATGGCCATTTCATGGAACGTACTATATTTAAAGACCTTCAAAATTATGAATCAATATTCAATACCTGACTGATAAATTTCGAAACCACATGACCGAATTTTCCGATGTTCAAGCAAATATGTTGCCTACATTTTCTTATTTTTGTGATGGTGAAATGCATGCACCACAGTTAGAAATCATCATGGCCCACTTATAAAATTTCATTATTCACACAATATACGCACTCCATACCAATAAAGATAATTACAGAATATGGGAAATCGTGAGATTGTATCTAATAGTTCAAAAAGCCATGCAAAGCTGTCTTTTAAAACGTTATAAGTTGACTGTATCAAGGCAATTAATGAGTAATCAGAGATAGATGAACCTCCAAAAATTTCTTTCAGTACAAAATCCTGTAGGTATTTCGTAATTGCATAACTTATTAAGCATTGAAAACTTATAGAACAGAAGTAAAAGTGAAGATGTTCAAAAACATTTGAAGAAATTTTTGAAAATACCCACCTCAATAAAGGCAGCTGAAAGTAAGTGTATCAATGGAATTAGAAGATATTGGGTTTGTGTCAGAATATTGGCAAAAGTTGCAATTTATTTTAATTTAGAATCTGTCAGAATAATTTGGGCTACGGTTACGACCACCTCGACATTTTTGGTCAGTAATGCAAACATTTAGCATTTACGTATTGATTTGGTTTGAAGAAGAAACCATACGGCACAGAGGAACATTAAAGACCTCGTGCCATTGCGAAAATATCTTTGCGATTCCAGCATAATTGCAGAATAGGTGCACCAAAAATATTAATGCAAAAATCAAAGGAGGTATTCCTGTTTGTTGAAATGAAAGAATGCGCTTCTATAAGTGAGGGACTGCCGTCACTGAGGGCAATGCTACCTGTTGGATGTTTTTGATAATGGTGGCGGTTGTCAGCGTTCATTAAGTCCCATCCGAATTTGATTTTGCAATTTCCTCAATCACAGTTTCGGTGGGGCGGCCTTGAACCCTGAAATATTTCGTTTCTCTGGTTCCACTGATCCAGCAAGTCCTGATGTACGGCAGTTTCGAAACTGTGGTCTGTGGCTCCGAGATCGATGGTCCTGGCTTACAAAGACCTGTGAATTCCCGCTGGTGTTTTCTCAATGAGTGAAGTCAGCGCAGACGTGAAGCCGTATGAGGAGAAGATCAATATCAAGGTATGCAGCGACAATCGTGAAATATTCCACGGCATGCGCTTGGCCTACGATAACACTTACCTGATTATGCTACTCCCTGTCACTGGCGCGCAGATCCGAGATATTGACGGAAGCGAGTCACAGTTTAAAATGAGATGCGATGCTCCGCTGCAGAAGCTCATGGATGCGTATTGCCAGCACATGCAGACCCCCAACAACACATATCGTTTCCTCTTCGACGGTCGTAGAGTCACACGGAAGGACACTCCAAGGAGCTTGGCAATGCATGATCTAGATACTATTGACGCGCTTATTCACCAAACTGGTGGCTGATAAGTAACGTTTCAACCCATTTCCGTGTGCTTTGACGTTGAAAAGCAGAGAGGAACCTCTCCGATTCATCCCGACAATCTGTTTCCGACATGCAAGTCGATAGTACGTGACTGACATTTGACTACTGAGAGCCGATTGCACATGAAGAAGCACAGCACCCTATCCTTGAGAACTGGTAAAAGTCAAGCCTGCAACTTTACCGACCGTGTGTTCTATCTTTCGCGCACAACGTAAAATCGATATGCCCCTCCTTCTGTGTTCTCTTGAGACGGTGTTCCCGTCCCACGGAGTTGCTTCGAACTTTAGCGAGCAAATCCAAGGTACTCTAAGAGACGAACAGCACAATTTTAATTGCCCCGGGACGTCATCTTGAAGAATGTCGAAGTTTCAAGGGCAAAACACTTTGCTCGATAAGACAGGCGTTCATCTGCGATTGCCATTCCAGCGGACTGTAGAAGATGGGACGCACCAGATTCCGCACGCGCGAATCATTAAAAGGTTAGTGGAGCGATCTCTTGCTCCCTGGAGTGGTACATTCATTCACAGCTTCAGATGTCCTTCTGATTCATACTCACGACACTCTCCAACCGGACTTTATAGAACTGATCACGTCGGTATTGCATTCCCATGGTGATGATGCTACACATCTTGACACGGCCCCAACGCGAAACATGTCGACAAGCCTTATGTGCCAGGCCCTTTCTCCATGTGCTAGCATCCCACAGACTACATCTGCTCGATCGAAACTGTTTGACATATGCAGGCTCTTGATCTGAGGTGTGTGGCAGTTGCCTTTCACTCCGATCATATTTCAGATAAAGGATATCTCCTTGCCGTCCCTGACCACTTCCCCGAACTAATGCGTACCTTTGTACCGGACCTTTTCGAAGCTGCCTTATTGTAAACGCAATGTGACGCATGGCCAGGCAAGCGTGCCAGGATGAATATCCATATTGAAACTCGTGCACATTTCGCTCTCGATTCATAGATAGGACAGACCAGCAGTCACGTAGGAATGAGGGGGCTACTCTCTCCCTTCGCTGTTGATTGAAGTCAAACGGGGTGGTTGACTACAGATGGAGAACATAATCCGAACAATTCATGGTGTCAATCTTCGTCGCGCCTAGTCTCGCTATTATCATCCCGATGCTTTGCTCATGCGGTATTTCCGGGTTTCCTGCGAATCTGATCAACTTCACATCTTCTTTTTCTCACAGCTGTATTGCCAAATTCAGATGTCAGGGAGTCATAGTCCTTAAGCTGACTTCTTCCGTAGAAGCCAGCTCGTCGCACAACGCACGACGATTCGCGTTTTCGTGCTCTGCTGCAGGACAACAGAGATTTGATGGGCACCTTGCGTGCAATCTCTTGATTCACCAAACAATGCGTGGTGATGTCCACATTTAGATGGAAGCTGATGCCAAGTTGGATACTGTACAGACTTGAACGCGTGTGTCACACATTGGAGTATGTAAAGGAAAGCGGCACCAAGAGAAAACTTAAAAAGCGAGTCCACGTCCTTTGAGAAATAGGAAGTGAATGCAAGTTACGTTTCGGAAGAATTGCATTCGAAAGAGGACTGATGGAATGCATAATTATTGAAAGGGCCAGCAACACATGCAAGAAATGAAGCCTTCATCGACTTTCATCCGCCAGTGGGCGAAAAACTTCACAAACCTGCACGTGAGCTTCTTTGAGTTTGTCGGACCACAAATCGAGCGGATCTCTCCGAAGTGATCTGTCTTGGCATTGCATCAAAGAACGTGAAGATTGCACTCGCAAAAACGCGGAAAGTAGCTGTTGGAAAACATCAAGAGACTAGTTACCATGCTTGCATGACGCCAAACGCAGCGACTGTAGCAAGGGATGGGACGCGTTCGGAGGTGGGGAACAGACCACAGTCGAATTTCGACGTAACAGATCACCTGATGTTGTTGCGGATGTCCACGCCAGGTTGCGAGAGCGGCAAAATCGAAACCGACCTTGCTCGAAAATGGGCTTGGCACAAACATAATGATAGAATTTGAGCCGCGACTTCAACGACGATTTGAGCTGAATGGAAGCCATTGCATCTCCGCCCACAGTCGTGCGAGCGCCTGACAAGTACGTCCTCTCTTTCCTCTCGCCGAATAGAAACAGAGAAAAAGGCCCGTATTTTCCATGGATATCCAGAGAGTGCTCCAAAAGTGAACAGGCCTGAGTCGGAAATGGGAGTCTTTTCTGGCGCCGCCTGTGTCCATCCATCCGTGCTGCTGCTCGACTATCCAGATCATTGGCATTTAATGGGACGATCGCTCATGACGATGTGAATAACCGTGAGGCAGTGTGTTGTCAAGCCATGTCAAGAGCATCGCTGCTATGCCGTTAACCGTTATCTTCCACCAGAACATGGGAAGTGAGGAGTGAGCAAAGAATACGGACACAAGCCTGTCCGAACACCGCCCGTACAAGTCTTGGAGGCGACCGACGGATCGCTGTGCTCTGAGACTGGCTATTCCATCAAGAACAGAGCATGCCGTTAGGGCCTCCTGACACCAACTAAAGTGAAGTATGCCATTGACCCACTCTGTGATCGCCATCAAAGGGATCTCTCTTTCTTGTCCGAAGAGGGCCGAGCATGCGCAGGGTGATGCGCGAAGGACACCCGGGTGCCAAGGAGATCAGTGCCAGTTGCTCAAGGACGACATTGCACTAATTCTCAGTTGATGAAATCTGTGGAGTCGCAGCTCACGAGCGACGGAACCGACGTCACGCACACTTCAGAACTTTGTTTCTCTAGCAAGCCTGCGTACGGAGACCTGAGTCTGCACGGTTGGGCTCACTTTTTGCGCACGCAATTGCGAAGTTGTGAAAGAGCGCGAAAGGCGCGGCTTCTCTAAAGACACCCAATGTCCTGAAGGATAGTCAAGCGTTTAATCCAGGACTTGGCTACTCGGTTTGATCGAGCTTAGACTTGGAGACGCCCGTGCACTGTTTCGAGAAGGTACGTGTGAAAGGGACTGTGGAGTAGGCTCCTAGGCCGAGGAGGAGACTTATCACATACTTTTTGCAAATCTTTAGCATGACGATCTCGAAGCATTGGAATCACATGGCACTAACCGCCCGCTCTGGAGAGGCAAGGCAATTAGCGCGTCAGGCAATACTATACAAGCTTCATTGCAGACGGCCACAATGTAGCATCTGCGTATTCCTCAGAAGAGATCAGAAACCACGCGACAAGGCCTGCAGAGAGACGGTTATATCGGACGCTTCTACGGGGCATAGGGGTTACCTGACGTGCTGGGACATACATTACTTGGTTGGATGTAGAATGGTGACGGGAAAGTTTGGGGATTCTCCGGGGCGGGCGTGAAAGGATGAGAGTTGCGCTTGGGTCCGCATCTCTGTTTCGGCGACTCTATTTCCAAAAAGGCGGCAGATGCGACTCATCAACGGGCACACCGGATCAAGAGGAGCGCGACGTCAGTATGGATGAAAGCTTGGACAGACTCTTTTCTGCGATGAACGCGACCACCGTGAAGACATATCCCGGGCTTTATTATGCTATGATGCGAGTCAATGAAACCTCTCAGATGCGGTTGCCTTCGGCGTTGGCGCGCGTGCTAGGGTATGGCAAGCGCTACGCTCTACAGGAATCGGTTGGTGGACGGAAGGACATAGGCAGCAACGGTCCACTGTTGTGAAAAGAAACTTCTGCGGCCAATATCCAAGACCCAAGCCGTTTGGCTTCGGATTGTTTATTCGCATCTTCGTTCTGAAAACAGACTCGATTCGTCGTTCAGGGCGTGCTGTGGTAGACATCTTCATCGTTGTAGACAAATGTTGGTCATCTCCAAGCTTCCCCTCTTCCTAGTGAAGGGAGTACCCTTCTTTGTGTCTCTGACGTCCACATTCTCAGCGGACGAGTCAGATTACCCTCTCGAAAGCGATGATGAGGATACGCCTCCGAGGGGGGCTCTTGAGGAAAAAATGGTTGGGTGAAAGAGTAAAAGAGCAAGGAATTTCAAGCATGGGGGCGATGGGCCCAGCAAGACTTCCATAATCTTGCAGGACTGATGAATTGGCGCAATACAGACCAAACCTATCTCTACCGCCAACTTGCGGTCGATTTCGGAGATATTTCGTCGAAACCCAGAGTTCATTAACGTTGTCCGCAAAGTAAACGCGTGTTTTTGGCTGCAGAAACCAAAACTGGTGGGTCGCAGAGTAAATTATTAAACTGGAAATTCAACCACGAGTTTTCAGAAGCCATGCGTAGCAGGCCTTCTCGATGTCATCATCGACCTGGAAGGCGCTTCAACCCATCCTGACGTGACATTTCGTACAGCTATAACCAGTTGTTGTCGGTGAAATGGGGGAGGCGGTTCTGGGGAGCGTGCCGTTCGTGGTGAGGGTTCCAAGTGTCGTCCCCCCTTCCCCGCAGCGCCCGCACCCTCTCTCTTTTATTTCTACGAAATTCCTTCCAGAAGCGTCCACGCATCCGGCCCGGATTCCGCCGGGCCGTCCGCGTGCCCTTCTCTAAAATTCAAATAAAATCTCGGACTACAGAATAAAATCTCCCTCTACAGTAAAATGCAAATATTTCCCTAAAAATATCTGACATGACCCCCTCCTCAGGGCAGCCCACGGGGCTGCCGCTGCACGTAAATATACTGGCCCCGCTTCCTCGCGTGACCGCTCTGGCCCCCCCCGGCCACCGTCTTTCCACCTTGCCACTGAAATGCACTCTCCCTGCCTCCTCGCGCCTCTCCCGCCGTCGAACTTCTAACAGTCAATTTCAAGGCGCGCTTCATCTGCGTCGCCCGAATTCCGGTTGCCCAACGTCAGCTTCGCGTCAGCCTCGGGCCGCGTGGTCTCCGCGTCGCCCGGGACTGTGGTCGCTGACGTCAATCGTCGTCTGGGACTCAGACCGCGTGCTCTGCGCGTCGCCTGAGGCTCCGTTTCCAGTCGTTCCCGTTTCGGGACTTCTCGGAAACGCACAGCGTCTCGAGCCGCGCGCGGGAGCTCTGTGGTCCTTCGGGCGGTACTCCCTGTGCGCACTATGGCTCGAACCAAGCAGACGGCGAGGACTCCCACCGGCGGGAAGGTACCACGCCGCGCTATCGACACTAGGGCGGCCCGCCGTTCAGCGGGCGTGTGGCGAGAGAACGGCCAGGACGTCACCGAAAGGGCGTCTCATGGCGTGAATTGCCCCTTCATCGACTTCGAAGACCCAAGTAATGCCGAACATCTCCCTGACCTTTGGAAGCACGCGGGACGTTCCGACGTCTCTGCGCTTCGGTACCAAGTAGGAGATGGTTCTTGCCGAATCAAATATAAGGAAGTGGGCAACCGGGCGTCCGTCGTAGCGGCCGTATCTGCCGCCGGGGCCCGGCTTCTCTTCGGGGCCCATGTGTTGGCCTTCGTATCGGCCCGCTTCGCTCGCAAGGCATGGTTCACCTCCGACCGCTGCTACCGGCTGGGGCTCACAGAGAGCCACAGCGACGGGACGGAGTACACCTGCTGCGACGACCCAGAGTGGGTCGTCGAATTTGTCTGGTGCTCTGATGGCGGTAACGGCGAGGTCAAGGGTTGCCACTACGCCGTCGGAGAGGGGAGTCCAGAGAAGTACATGATACTTCTCTACACGATGACCTTCGATTGCGTGCCCTCTGCGAACGGCACCGTCCGCCGGGGCTTCAACTCTTCCTTCGGTAAGGAGTGCTCAACGCGTATGGACGCTATTCTGGCTATCGACAATTGGTGTAGCCAGAATAGAGGGAAGAGGAAGCGAGTGAACTTTGCTATGTCACGCGACGTCTCCCCACTCGCTTCCCGGTACCTTTGCACGTCCCGGACCGTGGCGTTCCAAGACAATACCGTTTTGTGCATCCGGTCTGTGGTCTGCAACGCTATGTTCCTTGTCGTTGGTCGCGGTGCTGCTGACCGCCTATGGGTGGCGGAAGCGGCCCGAGTCGCCGCGTTCGAGCGTCAGATGGACTATTCCCCGAGCGTGCACCACTTTACGCACATTCAGAGGGTAATCCGAGCAGATCACCACGGAACAGTTTCTCATGATCATGTGGCCCCACCGCCGGGGGCTTTCATCCAAGGGAGATCCAGCTCCAGACTCCCTCTGTGGCGCAGCTCTGCTGTTAGCTAGTTACTTCGTCTGCCGCGGGAGCAAGCGGGTGTCTACGTTCTTCGCATCACCGACGTTAACCATCTCCAACACGCCGTCTGCATAGACGCACGGACGGAACTGGCGCTGATCTACGATTGCGCAGAACGTTTCGCCATGACGCACGGACGGAACCGGCGCTGATCTACGATTGCGCAGAACGTTTCGCCATGCAGCTCAAGGACACTTCTCTTCGCTTGTGCTGTCCCGCCGCCGATCCGACAAAGTTCCAGTACTTCGATGATGTGCGTCTCTTGCGCCGAACAACCCGGCAGCGTAGAGACGCCAATCAGAGTCCCGGCCGGGAGAGGAAATCCAAAAAGGTTTGCCGAGGAAATCGTGGCCCCAAATCCTCCCATGGCAAGGTAATTGCCGTGCGTAGGGGTTCTTCAAGCAGCAAACACTGATAGTTCATGCATAAGAAACGAAATCAATCTCAATCGCCTTCAATCTAGTACATGCGAAATATTAAAATGCATCACACCTACATAAGATGTGCGCGTTTCTGAATAAAAGGGATTAAACGTCTTGCATGTATATCCCGTCGACTGTAACGCAATCCCGGCGACACGAGTGAGTACCGCGGGTGCTTGGCTCGTACTACCCGGCATGGGCCGTAGTACTTCGACTCCCCTAGGGGCCACTTCTGTAACCCTCCTAGGGCTGTTCCTCGGGCGACCAGAACTTGATCGTGTACGTCGAACTGGCGTGGCGACACAACCGTCATTCTCTTGCTCCTCTTTTCCAACTGTTTAGCCGCCCTCGTCGATAGGAGCGCGAGCGTCGCTAACAGTTCGAAGTTGCGCGCCTCAACGCCGCCCCACCGGATTTGGTTCAGTTCGGTCTGGGGTTGCGCGGGCGGCTTTACTCCATACATCAGCTCAAACGGGGAGAACCCGTCCGACAGCCGGCGTCGGCGGTATCCGTACAGGATCTGCTTCAGCGCTGATTCCCACTTGTGGCTAGCGGCGCCCTGTCCCAACAGAGTCTTCCGAATTGAACGCTTGATGGTCCCGACCATACGCTCCGCTTTTCCGTTGGACATAGGAGCATAGGCGAGGACCGGTTTCTATGAAATTCCCTGTTGTACCATGAAGTTCTTCAACGCTGTCGCGCTTAAACATGTTGCGTTATCTGAGACTATGGTCCGAGGGGGACCAAACGAATGGATGATCTCCTCCTCCACGAACTTGACAACTTCCGCAGACGTAGCGGTCTCGGTTGCCCAAGCCAGGGGCCAACCAGTCAGATGTTCGACCGCTATCAGGATGTAACGTTTTCCGTTCTTCGTCTTGGGAAGGGGTCCCGCAAAGTCTATCGAGAATGTCTCAAAGAGCTGAGAGACTGGTATCACCGCCGTGCTTTTGTACGTCGGGATGGGCGCAGCCTTTTGGCAGCCTTCACATCCACGAACGTAGGCGTAGATATCACCATGAACTCCCGGCCACCAGTACCTGTCAAGGACGAACTGCTTCGTAGCTGTAGCGTCCCAGTGGCCAATGTCGTCATGCAGCGACCGCAACATCTGCAGTCGAGTCCCCCGAGAAGGGATTGTTCTGATCCCATTCTTCATCCTGCGAAACAGCCTTCCGTTCCAGGCGAGGAACCGCCTGGAGTTCTTCTTGATTCTGCGCCTCTGCGCAGCATCTTGCTCGACCATCTCTTCTCCTTCGAGATAACGGTACGTGTCCCGCACATGAGGTTCCATGTCTTCCAGTA